AAATTACAAAATCAACCTCAAATGTCTGTTTTTTTTGTTTCCCGCCTGATGAGAGTAGTTTATTTTTTTTTTTTTTAAAAAAAAAAAAAGGAAATGTTAGCAATATTCGTCATTTCTGGAATATCTCATTAACCTGGGTCCTAAAGGTCTGCCACCACTCATGGTCGGAACCGTTGGTGGAGCTACAATCGGCCGTGAGTAATTTGAATAGCCGGAATGGTTTCCGCCTAAATTCCCCATTGACGATGCTCTGGGCGATATCTGTGGATTCGTTTCCGTCGGAATCGGAACGGTTTTTTCGATTCTTCCGGATTTTTCCATTTTCCATTCTTGCCATCTCTTCATTTCTATCTGGCTAAGATCGAATTCTTCTTTGTTTCCACCTCCATGACCGTTGTCCTCCCCGGCGATCTTACGCGTGGCACCCCACGTGAAGTCTATTAAAAATAGCAAAAAGAAAAATGTTATTTTTTTTTGGAGACAAATGCAAAAAAAAGAAACAGGTTTACAAGATGTGCGTTACCATCAAAATGCCAAAACGCGTATAGAGGTAGGATGAAGTTCCAAACCGGCATGGCAAGTATGAAAATGATCATCCACACTAAATAGACGGGTTTGTGTGAGGTGAAGACGACCAAGAATGCTTGAAGGAAATACGTGGCAAAGATAAATATGAAAGGTAAAAGAACAGAGTTCCCTTGCGCAGCAGAAATAACCAAGACTAGCATGAATATAAGTGAAGAGGGCAAAATCACTGTTCCAATTAGTTCGAGGAAGATTACGAATTGCATGGAACAACAAAAGATGCCACAAAGTTGTGGCACCAAAATAAGTTCCATTAGATTGTGTATGGTTGAGTTGATCCACCGGCGACGCTGAGATAACAAAACTTTAAATTCGTCTGGTACCACAGTCTTACATATTGCTTTAGGTACATAAATCATTTTGCGTTTTGGAAATGTTCGTAACATTAATGTGGTGAGATAACGATCTTCCCCGAGAAGTAAGAGATTTTTCTGATGCAAAGTTCCGACGGTGTTTGAAGAGTACACCTCGACAATGTCCGGGTTGGCGAGAATAGGCACGGAGTAGCCATCATACTTGGGAGCCCTGATACGGTACATGCAGAAACAACCAGGCAAGCAAGTCACACCACCAAATATTGTTTCAAACGATTTTCCGAGATGATGTGAGATGTAGTACTCGAATACCTAGAATGAAGACAATTCAAGAATTCGTCAACCACGCCACGAACACCATAGTATAAACCCATTTATCCAACTTACTTGAATCCTGGTGACCCAACTTGCATTTTTATTCGCAATCTTGGTTTCGCCACAAAGTCCCATGACTTTTGGATCGCGTTCCATGGCAGCAACCATGTGTCCGACGCTATCGGGTTTAACGAGAGTATCGGCATCCACCATAAGAACCATTTCATATTTGTCAGGAGTGACACCGGTTAAAATGCGAATCTTTTCGAATAATTCGAATTCCAATTCACTCATTCGATCATCGAAACAGATGTGACTAAGCCACTTCATCAAAATGAGTTGGGAGTCTCGTTTTCCGCGGTTTCCAGCCTTCGAACCTTTTCTCTCTTGTGGAGTGCCAACCTTGTTAACAATGATCATTGGGACTCGATGATTATCGACGTTATAATAGCCTATGATAACTTCTGCCATGTTGTGTTGCTTAGGACCGTCGCCTATGGAATTGTATGATTTGGCTTCTGGCGGAGGTGCGTTCGAATCAAATGGCTCCAGCAAATCTTTACATATTTGCGGTGTCGATTTTTCATTTTCTGATCCAGTGACATCTCCGTCGGCAATTACGAATAGTAACTTATGCTTATCAGAGTAATCCGTTGCAGCTAACGAATCAAGTGTGGTTCGCATGGATTGTTCACCTTCAGAGTAACAGGTGACCAACATCATTATACGGGATATAGAATTTTCGGCCTTCGGCTTCTTTGATATTTTACCGAGTTTCCACGACAAAAGCCATTGAAAGGTTACAGCTGATACAAACTTGATGATAGTAATTCCGGCAAACATAACAATCATCAGGCCAATAATAGTATTGGTGGCGAAACATCCGATGGTTGTGCCTTCTATTTGACCGACCAAAAAATAGTCGAAGCACTTGGCTATATCTTTCGTTCCCTGAGTACGGACTATCTCACCTGTCGCGTCTTTCCCGACAAGACTGCTGAGCCAATTAGTAACACTGGCATCCCCAAGCCATTGTTCGGTAGCGGGCAACTTAAGGTAATTGGATATATCGTATACTTTTCCGTTGTATACAAACATTTCACCCGAACCGTTGGTGATATTGTCCCAAGTGTATCCCACGGACAAGTCCAATGCCAGGCTCTGGAGAGTTTCAACGGAGGCAGTCGAAGTGTGACAATGATATCTTTTGTCACTTAAGTTCGCCAGAAGGCAACCCGTTCCGTTGTTCGGAATTAGGGTGCATCCGGAATCCTTGTTATTTGGTGGAAAGAATTCCGAAATATCATGTCCAAATAATGGGTAAATGATCGGTGCCAAATCTTCGTCATTAAAAGGAATAATGGGTCGATGGTCACCGCTGGTAAAGTAAACTCCGGTGTTGTAAAGTTTCCCGCGAACGATGTGTACTTTCATGCCGGTCACATTGGGGCCATACAGACGAACGATGTCCTGTGGAAAGAGAGGTGTTTGTCTTGTGCATGCTAGAGAAGAAAACCCGAAAGTCAAGAATCCCATGAAACACGAAATACACAGAATGATGAAGCATAATGCCACTTTCTCGCGCCAGGCCTGTTGGACACTAGGATCCTTCATCTTTCCAATTACGGATAAACAAGGATTCAAGAAACAAGCTGTGACCGCTAAAGAGAAAATAACCCACGGAGTTTTTTTATCCCTTGGTTCCATATCTTTTTTAACATTGGATGTAATAGTTCGAGGAGGTGGAGGGTTGCTTAACGCTGCACCACCGAGACTCAAGTATCGAGCGTCGCGATCCGAGGAGTTTTTGGGTTGAATCGTTTTCCTCCTGAGCCTTGATTGATCAAAAGCCATCACGATTCCTCTTGGTGCAGAATTGTGATCACTCGGAATCGAAACGGGAGTATCGAATTCACCATTACAAGTCAAATAATTAACAGAATCGGTCTCTGGGGGGACGACAGGCATTGGCATTCGGGATATCTGTGGAGGAAGACCTGATGGGAAATCCTCTATTAACTTTGCGGTTTCATAGTGTCCAGCTTCCCTCGCAAGGACAACAGCAGTTTTGCCATTGTCCGTGGTGACGTTCTTGTTGGCATTGTGTATCAACAATAGTCGACAAGCATCAAAACGCCCTGAGAATGCAGCAAGCATTAGGGCTGTCCATCCATACTATGAGTGAGGATCGAGAAATGTATCAAATCGAGGATTCATTGCATGCAAGTGGGAATATTTTTGAACGAATTCAGTTCAATAGATTCATACCTGGTCCCTGAGGTTTACGTTCGCGCCTCGAGCCGATAAGACTTCCACGGTCTTCGTGTGTCCCACGTAAGACGCCAGAATCAATGCAGTCTTATACGAATCATCTTGGGAATCCACATCGGCATAGCCGACGTCGATAAGCGTGCGACAAACATCGGCGTGACCGTTATATGCGGCAATTACGAGTGGCGTGACATTTTTCTGGGATATGTTCACGAAAAGATGGAAATCGATGAGAATGGCACAGTGATTAGTGGGATGGTTTTAAAATAGCGGATGCAAACCTTGTTCCCAATTTCAACGTTTGCGTTCGATCGAATCAATATTTCAACAACTTCAGTGTTTCCAGCCTCGGCGGCCTGATAAAGCGCCGTCTCCCCTTCGTTATCTGCGAAAAAAAAAAAAAAAAAAAAAATCAATTGGTTGGTTGGTTGAGAGGAAGTAAAATCGAAAATTCCAATTGTCTCTCGTGGTACCAACCCTGCAAACTAAGATTCACGGTATCAATGCCACACAGGTATCTAACAACGTCCGGGCAATTTTCACTCGACGCCACCATCAGAGGAGTCTTTCCATCTCTATTCCGCAAATTATTAAGGTCATAGTGGGTTCTGCTCAAGGTAGCTCTAACCAGACCCACATTGTTTTGCATTATTGCATTGAATATAAAGGTTACAGGATTTGGTGGAGCGCCATCCTGTGGTGGAGGAGTGCGAGTTGGTGCTGGTGGTATTGAAGTGGGAGTCGGCGAATAGGGCGGATGGTAGAGTTCATCGTCAATAGGCATTTTTCGTGAAAATGCCAAAAAGAAATGAATTTTCTGTTGGTTTTCTTCTTTAAATGTAAGCGAGAAAGATTTCTGTGCACCCTCTGAGAATTCTAACTTTTTCTTTAATACCCTTTAGAAAATTTTGCGGTTGGAAGGAAGTGAAGGTAAGAATTGTAA